TTACTTTTATTTCTAGACATGAAATAATTAATTTAGAGGTTTATCATAAAAATACAGATTGCTGCAGGACTAGAAATGGACTAGGTTAGAGAAACGTTGGGAGTGTCAGTAGAAAGGACAGAACCACATAATCTCCATCTGGATATTTGGATGAGTCTATAGGGATCCAAATTAGTGAGGAGTGGAGGGGGAACATTTCACTTCCATTACTCCCATCGTTACATGCTCCTGGGTTTACACACAAACATATGAATATTAAAGACCAAAATAGAGTTTTGCTTTGCAAAACACTGTGATACCAATGAACTTTCTTTACTTGTTCATATTGGGGGAGGTGAGGGGCGGGCAGAAAGGTCATCCTTATGTAGCCGCCTGGCATTTGGTTTTTTTTCCACACTCCTGTTTCGCTGACCTGTTTATCCTTCCCTTTCTCCCTTTTCCTTGCTCCTTTTTTCATGCAAATGAAGGCATCTCTGACTGGTGGATTTCTAGTAAAACTATTTTAGTTTTGAAATGGCAGCCACTTAAATTCACTGTTGTTTGATGTGGAATGGTTCTCACTGGTGATTTCACTGTATTTTTTTTCTATGACCCAAATCCTCCCCATTGTTAAGGCTATTTAACATACAACCTGGAGAGTCTAATGCAGCATTTTGGTTATTATAAACCACCAATGAATCTTTTCCCCACTATCTCACTGAAAAAGCTTCCAGGCTCAAAATTTGCAGATAGTGAGGCTAAGGCCAGTGTCTTTAACAACATAGGTTTTTATTTTTTCCTAAATAGAAAGATATAAGGTGTGACTGCACTATACAAAGACTGATTTCCTGTGGACCTCACAGCCTTCATCTCAATGAGTCATTCTGTCATCTTCTGCATATTTCAGAAAGAGAACACAAAGTAATACTCTACTGAAACTACCGATAGGAACATTGTTTTAAAATACTAAAGCTTTGAAATCTAATAATTAATCATGTCATTGTTAAAATGTTCATAGACTTACAGATTCATAGAGATAGAATAGATTTCAAAGGCTTGTCTTCCTTTTGTAGATGTGGACATTGAGGCCCAGAGTTATTTGTCCCAAGTCAGGACTCCAAGGCCCCAGTCCAACAGTCTGTCGTCTACACTGCAGTTCTTCCCTTGAATCAATTTTTCTGGCAATGAGAGCAATGAGCCAGTTCATTCTTTCTGAATTCGAAATATTACTCAGTTTCAGAAAAAAAAAATAGATGATTTAAGTACATCACAATAAAAGGGAGGAAGAAAGGAGGAAGAAAGGAAAGGAAAGAAAGGAGGAAGAAAGAGAAGGAGAGAAAAATAAATTAAAACAACAAAGAAAGAACAAAAGGAAAGTAGGAAGGAAGGGTGAGATGGAGGGGTGTGTGGAGGGAGGAAAGAACAAGTCCAGTGGAGACAATCTAGCTAGAAGGCATAAGGGGACTTCTTGAAGCTGGATTTGTATAAAAGTCCTTTAGAGATTTTTACATTGATTTCTTTACTTTTGTGGTTTAGATTTCATGAAGTGGAGTAGCTTAAGCCTCACAGGCTACACTTTCAACTAAGCATTTTTTATGTTTGTTGTAAATGTTACCAAAACAAAGTCCACATGCCTGATGCTTTGAAAGGCCAAACCTCAAAACACCAGATTTTGGAGTAAAGAAAGGTTTATTGATCAAAAAGATGCCAGCTGAGATGGGAGACCTAGTGGTGCCTCAAATACAGAGTTCAGGCTACTTTTATGACAAGGGAAGGGAAATGGGCGGGGCAAGAGGTGATTGAGGACCACAGACATCTGGGCGCCAGCAAGCGTCCCAGGACGATTGGGAAACTTCTTTGTTCTTAGTCTGTTGACTCCAGTTGATGTGAGTCTGGTCAAGAGGTTCCTGCAAGTTTTTGATAAACAATCATTATTTTTGTACATACTTCTCTCATCTACTCGGGAGAGGCACCTTCGTTAAGGGGGTGTTTTTGTAAAACTCAAGCCACAAGCAGAATTCCTCTAATGATTAGCATGTCTACATGCAAGACTAGGCAGAAACAATTAACCTGAAGGCCATGGGAACAAAGCAGGCTTGAACAAGGTGGAGTCAGAGAGGTTGAGCATTTCACGAGGTTACATAAATTCACATAGATAACAAACCTCAAAGAAATTTTCATTTTAAAACAAGAACCACAACCACAAAGTTATGCACATGCACTTGATTTTAGGGTTTCCAAGAGGAGCCTACAAACTCATTCATTTATGCCACAAATTTTAATAAGTGCCCACTATGTGCTAAGAACTGTTCAAAGTACTAAGAATACAGGAGTATATAAGAACAAGATTCCTGTCCTCATGGAGTTTATTTTAGTGGGAAAAAAACAGATAGTAAATAAGTGAAACATAAACAAACAAGATAATTCTAGATAAAAAATAAGTGCCTTAATGACAATAATATAGGAATACTGTGTATATATACAGGAGAAAGTTATTTTTTTAGCTATGCCAATTACAAGAAATAGCTAACCACAGAAAAATCAAGGTCTTTTGAGATATAATTGTCAAATAACATTGTGTAAGTTTAAGGTATACAATGTGATGATTTGATATATGTGTGTATTGTAAAATGATTGCCAGGATGAAGATAGCTAACAACCAAGTTGAAGGGCATTCCACATTGAGACTCTTGTAAGAGCAGAAGCCTTGTGCTTTAGAACACATATGCTTGGGTGGATCTCTGTTCGTATTTCATTAATGGTCCTGCCAAACTTGCTCTTGTCTAGTTCAAGTCTCCTCCCCAGGCTTCCAGAGGAGGGAATTGTACTAGCCCTATACACAACAAGTATGTATATATTGTAAATTGCCATTTACTACAAGACAAAATACATTATCTAAACGGCTGGCACCAGAGACCCTCTCAGAAATGTAACTGTCTATGAGAATCCAGTCAGAGTCAAGTAAATCCATAAGGACCTAGGCTTGACTGGACCCCAAGCATCAAAAGATGAGCACTAAATTGTGCCATGTAAGTAGAAACATTTATTTTGCTCCAGATATGTAGAGATGATTCAAAACTGAGCCCTAATGATCAATAGACTTGTAGTGTGAGCAAGAAATAACTGTTTATTGTTTTCAGCTAGTGAGGTTTGGGGGGGAAAGGGAGGGTTCTTGTTACCACAGTATAATAAAGCCTATCCTAATTGATATAAAGACATAAGGGAGTAGAAGAGAAAGGAAAAAAAAGAAAAAAGAACCCAATCAAGATGGGGAGAAGCACAGAACCAGCAGAGTAAAAGGCCACCTGAGCTCTCCTGTTCAGGGCATTTTCAGGTGGTTTATTATTCCACTGGAAGTTGATCGTGTTGCTGCAATATATATTCATCTTCCTACTCTCCCAACTCTTCGCACCAAATCTTCTGTGAAGCCTATTACAAAAACAAGATTTGCTGTGAGTTGCTCCTTCTGCGGAAATCAAGTAGGACTCAGATCCCATTTGGGAGGGATACAATATGGGGCACAGTGTAGAAAACAGAAACCCACAGATGGAGATGCATACAGGTTCCCTGGAAAGGCAGTAGACTAGTTGTGGGATTTCACCTTTCCATTTATATAGAATTGTGGGTTTGGGTCAAACTTCCCTACCCGCAAGGGGATACCAGCTTCTAGGTAGATTACATGTAGATGGATGCACAACGCTGGTGGGGAGGCAGTGGTGAAGCGAATGTAGAGAGTGCAGATGCGCATCTGTGCTCCCTGATATATCCATCTTCTGACTGACAGTAGTGCCTGAATGAATGGGGGCCATACGGGTTCCACAGCACTTTGTGCTCCCATACAATTTAGCTCTTACCTCTCTTACAGCACTTGACATATATGGCTTTATAATTACTTAGAGGCAGGTCTTTTTTCCCCACTTGACTGGCTCCTCCGTGAAGCTGATAACCCCATTATATTCATTTGTGTGTCTCCCATACCTAGCATAGTAGTATCTGACACCCAGCAGATGATCAAAAATGTTACTTGAGTTAGTTAAACTCTGATATGTATAGCCTTGTTTAAATAGAGGCAGCTGACTCTCAAGAACCACCAAAACAAAGTCTCAAAAGTATTTCTTTTAGGGGTAGAAGCATAGTAGCTGTTGGTTTTGTCTCCTAATTATTCCCAGCTATCCATTTGCTGGGCTACTGCTGATTCCTCCCCAGTGGTTGCGGGGAATCATGAGCCTAGTTCTGCCCAATGAGGTGTAAACAAAAGGGGGAAGTATCACTTCAAGGCCAGAACGTTTAATTGCTGGTGTGAAATACTCCATGACTTTATTTTCTTTCTGCCAGAGCACACAGCACTGTCTCAAATAGTGGCTGCTCCACTTAACATCTGGGGTTAAAAATGATGTAAGAGAAAGCACTGGCTATTCTACAATAGACATGAGACATAGGCGAGAATCAAACTTGGTTGTTTTAAGCTACTGAGATATGGGGGTTGTGTGTCACCAGTGTATAACTTAATTTAACTGATGAAAAAAAATGGACAAAATTGAGGCCTTCTTTTCCCTACCCTGGTCACCAAATCATTTTTAGCATGACCAGTAATAACTGGTCACCAAATCATTTTAACATAGTAATAACTGTTGGAAGAAGGAATAAGCACAAACGATTTAAGAAGGAAACACTGAAAGTGAAAAGCCGGTACCTTGGGAACAGGACTGGGTAGCCCGTACTCAGGGAACAGAAGGAAAGGTGATGTGCTGAACCTGTGTAGGTGTGCAGGCCATCTGGTCACATGCTTGCGTGTGTTAAGAAGCTGCACAGTTAAGAAGAATGCAGCCCATCAGAAGAAATCCTGTATAAATGGTGTGTTCATTTTTGGCTGGAAAGAGGTAACAATAGTAGTTACAACTATAAGCACAAAAGCAACGATGCTTCAAAAAGAAAGGTAATGAGGCAGAATAAAGATTAATTAATAGACTGAAAGGGTTTTTTCCCCCAGTGCCGTGGATATCTGGTATCTAACAAGACTGCATGATAAAACTCTCTGCAGATTCCAGTAAGACTTTATTTCTATGTGTGTGGTCATTTATTTCTCCTGTAACATTTACATAAAGTTCTGAGTACATTTGGAATGCTTGAATTTGACTGTCATTTTCTGGGGCCTAAATTATTAAATTTTAACTGAAGAGCATCTCAAGATCTGATGTCTTCAAATTTGCATTTGCAAAATTTCCACTGCTTGACACACAGCTGCTGTTAAAATGGACTTTGTGCAGAGGCACATCAGTAAGTTCTTACACTATCTTTTGGAGCTGTATGTTTATTTTTAGAAAGGCTTAATTCTTTTGATTGTTTTTCAAAACTTTAGAAAATACAGGGGAAAAAATATAAAGAAGAAAATAAAAGCACTCAACCTCATATTCAGAAGAAACTAAGGCAGCCACTTTGATGCAAATTTATCCAACTTTTCTCCAGGCATGCATACACATTTTAATATGATTATTTAGGTCCCTGAATTTTTCTTTACACAGCATTTAATCATGAGCACTATTCTAGAAGATTAAAAATATCTTTTAAAGTGTACACAATTAATTATTTCCCTATTTTTTGTAGGTCAAGAGCTCTCTTTTTTTATGCTTATAAATAACACTAGGATGAACAGAAATACTTTCCACATCACTGATTATTTCCTAGAAGAACTACTGAAACAAAGGATGAATGTTTTAGGATTCTTAAAATAACAAGACCAACCAGTTGCCATAATGTTGTGGACAGAAAAGGGGCCATATGTTAAACCTGACAAGCTCAGGAGACTGAAAATAACCACAGAGGTTGTAAGATAACATCTTTAATCCTCCCCCCCCCCACCAGGGCTGGAAACTGCAAAATTCCTCATTATTATGCTTGTCTCCTGATTACCGTCTCTATGTGCTGTAAAGAGTGAACTGTTAGTGATCCTGCACACACCTGTGTAGGAGGAGTACCTGTCTCTCCAATGTACTTTTATCCAATCCCAAAGATTCCCCGGCTTTGCTTTCTCCCACCCCCCTTAATCTATCACCAATGAATTTCATGTAACGTTTCTCCTTTGATTTTAAGTATAAAATAAACTGCAAAGTGCCATTTTGCGGAGCATTTTCTCAATCCGTTGAGATTTTGCTTCCCGGCAATTGTCGACAGTTTGGCTCAAATAAACTCTTATAAGTTTTCTCTTAGGCTGGATATTATTCGTCAACAAAGTCAATTCTAATTTATACTCCCATATGTTTATAAGAGTGCCATTTCCCTACTCCTTGCCAGCATGAAGAATTATACCTTTTTATAATGTTTAACAATTGTTTAACAAAAAAATGGCACTACAGTGTTGCATTAATTTGCTTTAATTTTTTGACTAATAGTAAACAAGCATTTCTTCATGTATTTAAAAGTCATTTGCCTTTCTTATTTTTTTGTTTGAATTTCTATGCCCATTTTATTTTTTGTTTAGAGTATCAGTAATGTTGCTATTGATTTTTAAGTTTCCTTTACACATTTTTAGGCTATTACTCTTTGGATATAAAATATTTCCTTCCAAGATTAGCTTTAGATTCAAGATATTTGGGGTCAATAAAATGAGATACTGTATGCGAAAGTTGCTTTTAAGTATGAAATACTTTAGAATTGTTTCATTGATTTTTTTTTTAGTTTTTCCAATTTTACATTTGTACAATTCCTATCTCTGTTTTGATACTATTGAATAATACCTCCTAACACTGAGCACTTGGTTGGCATACTCAGATGTATACATAATTCCACATAGAGGTAATTTTTAGAGTTCCTTAGCACTACTATTATAGTGTGGTGCTTACAAACACAACTGAAGAGCCAAACTCCCTGGTGTTAATCCCAGTTCTGTGCCCTATTAGCTGTGTGAACGTGAGCAAGTTATTTAACCTCTCTAAGCCTCACTTACCTCATTTGCAAAATCTCAGAAAAATTTGTGAAACAAGGAAGTAGCAGACCTCACAATATTGCTTCAAGGATTAAACAAGATAACGGGGTAACTAGTTAACCTAGATAGCTAATTTAACTAATCTGGAAAACTAAGGCCAGGCATCTAGCAAACCTAACTAAGTGCTAGCTCTTGATATGACATTTACATGTTCATTGAAAGGAGATAATCCTTTTGATCTAGTTTATTTTTTAGGCATTTAGAGTGAACTATTTCTCTGCCTCTAATAACAATAGTTAACATTTTGTGGAGCACTTTGCAAAACTTATTGATAGTTCAGCAATTAGTTATTAAATACCTGAGCTCCAGGCAATATTCTAAGCACCTCAGCTGTGAACAAAATCAATAAGGTCCCCCAGACAGGGAGTTTTCATTCTAGAGAGCAAAGATAAAAAGAAAAAAAAATGCAAGTAAATAAACAAGTTAATTTCAGAGGGAAATACATGATATAAGGCAAATAAGGCAGGAGAATGAACTGGAAGATGATTATTGGGATAACTCTATTAGGTACTCAGGGCAAGCCAGGGTGAGGAAGAGGCAATATACTAAACACTTAAGGACAATCCTATGACACGGCCATCACTTGTATAAACCGAATGATTAAGTTACTGAAACCAAATTGTCGCTTTAATAAAATACACATGCATTTCTCTGCAAAGGTAACACTTTTTCATAATAGAAAATACAGCTAAGGATGAAAAGAAAAGAAAAACCATCTGTGATCCTATGGTCAACAATTTGTGTGTGTATTTTCTGTCCTCTTTTTCTGCATACATCTATACAATATATTTAACAATGGGAATATGAATATTTGTAACTTGTTTTTTCCATGAAACAATATTTTTCCATGTCACTGAGTCTTCTAAAATATCTTTAATAACTATATAATCTCATATTATGGAACCATAATGGTATCTTTAGTTTCTTACCAATGGATATTTATATCATTCTAATTTTTCATTATTATAAACAATGCTATGATAAATCAAATAATAATAAGAAAGTACTAGTTAATATTTATTTAAGTGCTTATATACAGCATGCATTGCACTAAGCAATTATAACTCTTAAATAGTTTAATGTGTACAACAGTTCTATGAAATGAGTACAGTGGTAATCCAACCTTTAGAAAACTCGGACAAAAAGAAGTTCAATCATTTGCTCAAGGTCACACATCCAGTAAATTGCAGAGCTCGGATCTGAATTTGGACACTCCTGTTCCAGCCTGAGCAAACAATCATTGCACTCTATTTCCACCCTGGCCAAATTTCCACAGATTTACAGATAGGTCTTAATCTTCATCAATATTATTTCTTTAGGATACATTTTTAGAAATGGAATTGCTCAAAACCCGACCCCAGACCAAATGCTTCTATAAAGGACCACAGCTCCTCTCATCCAAACCTAATGCCCACTCCATGGCGCCCTCTTGGAAGATCCAAAGCCCTGTTTCAGATTACACACCAGACTGCAGCCTGCAAAGAGAGACAGGGAACCAGCAATAGTGGAACAGGCAGCTCTGCCCCTGCCAGCCCCTCCCTCCTCTGGTTCTCTTCAGAGCCCTTGCCAAGTAAAGCTGAGCAAAAACAAAGAAGAAGCTCCCGAAACTGAGCCTGTATGCATTCATCCAGCCCATGGTCCCCTAAAGAATATCCTCTGCACATATCCCATAGTCTAAACACAGAACGAAGTGGAAAGGCAGAGAAAAGACATGAGTGGCTTTGAGCTCGGGAAGCGGAAGCTTTCCATAATGCCCAAGGGGCTGCTCCGACACTGCCATGCCTCTTTTGTACGCTCTTGTACCTCCTTTCCTCTCTACGTGGCCCTACAAGGCTATGGAGCAGATTAGGTAGCAAATGATTGGGACGCTCTCAGGGAACTAGAGGAGTCCCATGAATGCATCCTGCTAATTGAGACACACAAAGTGGACCCTTCTGGGTGCTTTGGGCTTGCACTAACCTGGAGTCATGACTCACTAGACACCATTTTATCTCACTCTTCAAAAAGTCTTTTTTTTTTCTTGAGAGGCTGTTCGATCAAAGAAATGAAATAATTCATCTCTGTTACTTTTCCCAGGCTTCAAAGATAACCTAGAATCATAGGTTTCTATTTTACCGAAGGAGGCTCCTGAGTATAGTAAACTTTTTGCTATCTCATCCGGTCAAATGATAGAGGTTTTATTGGGGAGTGGAGCAATCAATTGAGTTATTATATCTATCCTGTATAGTACATTATCACTCTTCAAAGAAATGGAATACAGAAAGATAAATATAAAAATAGATTAAAGGAAAGGTCATCTTTCTTTGTTAATTCAGAGGCTATTTCTGATCCTTAAGGAGCTTCAAGGTCATTATAACCTTGAATTATTGCACAAAAAAAACTACCTACTGTCAACCTTGGGTTTCAACAATCTGCTTATAAACTTTCTGGTTGGAAACCAGAGGTTACATCCGTAACAAATAGCATTTAGGAACCAAGGTCAGCCCATAAAAATATTTTTTTAATCCATAATGTAGTTGAAGAAAAGTACTAATAATACTAAAGACCCTCACTATCATTTTCCAAATTACTCTCATTTTCTATCAAGAAAATATGTTTAGAATCAATCAAGTGAGACACCAGAACTATGTCTACTGCATTCTGGCGGCAGATACGGGAACCTGCACTTAATGTCTTTGGCAGCAGAGCCAGGCTGGTAGAAGAGAGGGAGTCTCATGAGATTGAAACACTTGGGTCAGACAGAAAAGAGAAAGGGAACAGGAGCAGGGGTTATACTGAATGGACTTAAAGAGTCACAACTGCCAATGAAATGTAAGTTCTATGACGGCAGGTGGTTTTGTCTGTTTTGTTCACCACCATACTTCCAGAACCTAGAATGGTGCCTGGGATATAGTAGGTACTCAAAAAATAGTTTTGAATGAATGAAGGCAGTAGTGATAGAGATGGAGAGACACTGGCAAAAAAGCAGCTAGATGTAAGAAATAATATAAAAATCAGTCAGCTTGCACAACAATAGGGGACAAATGCTAATTAATAATCCTGTCACTAAAATGTCGAATGATAGAGAGGTACTGTAACAAGGTAGGCACACAAGGAAATTTAGTCATGATGGTCTAAGCTTCAAGTGAACCAAACAGATAATGTACACAATTTTCTAAACATCAGGGAATGAACTCAGGTATCAAAGATAATAAAGTCTGTATAACCCAATGGTCCCTCCATTGAAAAGATGAGAACCAGCAATTACAAGCCTGACTTACCTGTGCCCTTCTGGACAGATGAGGATGGAGATCAGTATCATGCCCCTGTAAGTAGAGCCCGGTAGAAAGATAAAATCAAAGGATCATATAAATGCAAGTTAAAATGCACTGGACAAATTAAGACAGTGTTACTTAAAACACAACAGAAACCACTCCCTCTAGGCATGTCAGAGCTAGAGATTTCTACTGAAGTAAAGAGAGCTTATTATACTCCTATTCACCGTGAAAGTCTGACCAAAGGGCCAAGTATCATATAGAGCAATGTGGTATTTTACAACCAATTTTAGACACAATCCACCTCTGTAATGCCTTATACAGCATCTAACTTCATGAGCCTAAGACTATGTTGTAAAAACTAACGACCTTGACAATATGTAATCGCAAAGACTTGGACTGCCACTAAAATTTCAACTACAGGAGGAAATGTATATCATGTTCTAAGTCTTCCTTAAAATGGCACCGTGGCCAATGAGCCATTGAACAAACCACAATAGCTCAATCTGTCCTCTCGTTTAAGCTAGAGAGGAGAGCTGGGCTCTGGCTCAGAGGAGTCTGGGGTCAAGCACGGATAGAGCATCACTTTTCCTCAGGTTGCAAGGTATGAGTCAAGGACGGTGACATCCGAAGAAGGTCCTTGGGAAAAAGAGAGCTTGACCAACAACCTGGCTGCACATGAGGAAATGGTGTCATCTGCAGAGACTCAGGGAAGAGGTGGTATAAATACGCGAAGCAACAGAAAATAGACCAAGGACTCAGAGAGAGCTCAAGATTTCTAATGAAAGGATGGGAGGCAGTGCCTCGAACAATTCTCTGGACCAAAAGGTAAGCTGCTTGTTTTTATAGAATGCTTTTAATCTGAGTTTAGGCATGGAGAGACATGTTAAAGTTGCCAAAGTTATTCCAAGCCAGGAAAGTAGTCACAATTTCCTATTTAGGAATGGTTAAGTAGGGGGGGGAGAAACCTGCAGGAAATTACATAGGGACTCGGATATTCCCCCAGCACACCAATACAGCTGAATTAGCCATTCATTAACTGATTCAATTTGGCATTTCTGAGATGCAATCCACTGTTTTTAATCATAATCTCTACATTTTAATGCAACACTTACCTTCCTCTTCTTAGTCTCCAAGAGTTTTCTAATTAGCAGATAAGCTGAATAATAATAATAAAAATCTTCTAGTAGGGAAAAATTATCTGCATGCTGTATTACTTCTTTCAAGAATGTTATTCTGGAAAACTACAATGCAGAATATGAAAATGCACTAATTTGATTTGTCATAGAAATGTTCTTTCTTTTAAGATCCAAGATAAATCAGCAAATGCTTTCAAAGCTGACATTTAATCCATGAATTCAAATCATTTCCAAGATGTATGATCCATTAGAAAGACAGTTTCAATTTCCCTTGCCCTTGTGAGAGTCTAATGCATAGCTGGCAGAAAATGCATTTACGTTGTACACACTCCATGATAACAATATCATTTATTGATAAGGCTTTCCAAGTTTCAAAAAATGATGTTCCTGGTTATGTTCATTTTGATTTGTTTATATGTACGTAGCAGATAGATGCCTCCCTCTGATAAAGTTTCCTAAAATGTAGCAGAGTAACAGATATCCATGTAACGAAGATCAGCTGCTACAGATTAGAAGAAATCTCCTGCAATAATAATCATAATCATAAACAGATGGGGATATCTAAGGGTAGACTAGATGTCCATAAATAGATATAGACTCAGATACAGATATAGATATAAATAGGATAAAGAATCAAGCCAGTCTAACTCACAAAAGGGTGTGATCAACCCAATTTCAATTTTCCTTTCCCCACCCCACCTTCTATTCTTCACCCTTTGTCCTAAGCAAGATTATTCTGACTGCCAAAAATATCAGTAAAATGTATTGGACTCTAAAGCAGAATTTTCCAAAGCACATTAACTCAGCCTTAAGATTCAGAGTATCAGTGAATGCAACACTCATGAGAGGAGATGCTTCTCTTCTCCAGTAATTTGAGTTTTCACCATATAATTACCAAATCGTACATATATCAATTCTATACCAGAAGAGAAGCTACATGAGTGTACAGGATAGTCCTACCTTTGAAGAGCTTAACGTCCTTAGATTATGAATGAATAGATTCTGTGTTAGTGGGCAAGTTAATGTATCTATGGTTAATTGAAGGAAGGGAAATGTTCTCTTTAGGAACAATTTGACTGGCAGCATCGGGAGTTATAGAGCTTGCCCAATTTCATACAGAAAAATCATGTAGTGCTAGAATGTCAACTTCTTCACTATATATATATATATATATATATATATATATATATATTATAAAAAGGAATTCCAAAGAGGAAAGTTATGTCCCCAAGGTCATAACCTAGCTGTTCTATCTGTGCCTGCCCTCACCTATGTTAATCAACAAAACAAGAATTAGATGTTTATTAGCTAATGACAGCTCATTAACTCTAACACCACCCAAGGGTGTCATGCAACAACTGGATTTGTTATCTGTTGTGACATAACAGACCACTCCAAACTTAGCAGCTTAGAACAAAGCATGTCTGTAGTTTTACTGTTTCTGAGGGTCACTAATCTACAAACAGCGTAGCTGGGTGATTCTAACTCAGAGTCTCTCATGAGGTTGCATCATCTAAGGCTTGATTAGGTCTAGAGAATCCTACCTCATTCACATGGCTGTTATAAGGATGCCTCAGTTCAGCATGTGGGTCTGTCTATAGAGGTGCTCATAGCACGGCTTTCTGCAGAGCAAGTTGTGATGAGAGAGACAGAGAAAGAGAGAGGGAGAGATCAATCGCAAGAAAGAAACTGTACTGTTTTATAATTCAATCTTGGAAGTGACATACCATCATTTCTACCATATGTTATTGGTCACACAGAGCCCTGGTACAATGAGATTATAAAAGGGTGTGACTACCAGGCAGGGATCATTAGGGGCCACGTTGGAAACTGACTACAACAAACTTCTCAAAACCCAGGGCACTTGCTCATACTTCAGAAGATGCAATAGTTTCAGCAAATCTTACTTTTCTGATCCACAGATGACCCAGAACTCTCCCTGAAGAACCCCTTCCACACTTCTAGAGATGCAGCCTGGCTGCCCCACAGCTGAAAGAATAAGAACAATATGAGCTCTGGGTGCTTTGTTCATTTGTTCACAAAATAAAAAAATAAAAAGAAGTTTGGGTAACTCCCATATGCCAGGAACTGTCCTGGGGGCTGAGAATATGATGGTAAAGAAGGTATAGTTTCTGCCTTAAAACTATTTGACAATAAAGAGATAGAGACAATAACTGGAAGAGCACAGAAAGAGGCAGAAGAGGAGGAAGAAGATAAAAGAAACAGTAGGGAGAGGGAGAAAGATGTGAGGACGGCAGAGAAAGGGAGATGGGTGCACACAGAAACCAGCATTGATGGGAAACAAATGCAATCATAGAGGTTTTTTGCTTTTGATGCCCTGCATTAAAATTCAGATATTGAAGTTTCAGAGGAAAAAAATGGGAAGGTTTTTGCTTAACATATACATCCCTATGTTCAATGTACAGCACATTGACTAAATTTAGAAATTTTGCCTAAATGTATGCTTCCTTAGCATGCAAGAAACTCACACCTCAAAACAGAGGTTCTCAAGTCTTTGAGGAAAGAAGTTGATAAAAGCATTGGACCCTCTTTTCATAAAGAGAATGAGGATGTGTGCACATGCACACAAACACACGCACATATTTTTGGAGTCCATGGGCCTCAAGTTAAGAATGCTTGATCTTAAAATGATTATAAAATAACATTGTAAATAGTTTTCCATGTTAGCTGTCATTGTCAATATTCAGGATAGACTCTAGAACAAGCTTTGATGAATCCTCATGATGACAATGTTTAGCCAGAAATAGGAAGAATGTTAGGGCATTTTGCTCTTTGAGAGGTTTTGCTAAGATAACAGGTTCCAGCCTGAAAGCAAGAGCTTGCCCCTTTACCTTGGCAAGGGGCAAGGTAAAGGGCATTGTGTCCAAAGAGAAGCTTGGGGCAAAGTGAATCAATCGAAATGGAAGAGCCCTTTACTATAATTCCTTCATTTTACAGGTGGGCAAACTGAAAGAAGACCCCATGGCTGACCCGGGTGAAGTGGCTGCACATGCAGTATGGCCAAGCATTCAGGATTTATGTAGCCTTGGTCCAGATGGTAGGAAGCGTATCCACAGCGGTCAGGATCACATTTGGGAAACTGAGGTTAAACTCCCATTCCAGAAGGAGAGCGCTGAGTAAAGCCAAGTTAGCTACAGACGCCTCAGCCCAACAGGCTATGGGATGTGTCCTAGTAGACATTTCTATGAACCTTCATTTAACAGTCTGGGTTTCCTCCCCTGCAGAAGACACCTTGACACATTAATTCTGCAGTGCAGTAATTTTATACCTGGAGGCCAAAGGAAGCTTGGGTTTGAAAGCCAAATTTTCCCTTGGAAATATAATTGAAAGTCTCCAATGTACATAAACCCTGATGTGCTGCCATTTAAGTCTGGCACTTATGGCTGTAAAACTTAGCAAACTCTATCAAAAGCAGGTGAGGGAATGGCTAATATTGTTGTCCCACTGCGGATAGGTTAGAACTGACCTGAGTAGGCACCGTGCCAGGTCTTTGACAGACCTGCAGTGCCTAGTTACATCAAGTCATCCCTGACAACGCAAACTGCTGTTTGAGCCCTTGTAGGCTGATGCTAAAGGGAGCATGGTTTAATATGGGATTCCTTTCCATAAGCTTTGAGAAATCTCCTAAGTCTAAACCAGATGTAAAATGCTCAGTGCTCCACCAGAACTTGGAAGGGTTAGGTATGGGGCCCTTACCTTTTCCTCATTCCTCCTTACCATGGTACAAAAAAAAAAAAAAAAGCACCTCTAAGGTTGCAAAATCCATTCACCAGCTTTTATGCCCTATCACAAATTTTTGAAAAACAACTTATTTCCAAATGTTCCGAGGTATAGATTCTCAAAATAAACACCCAATAGTATTTGCCCTTTCAGCTGAATTCTTCCTGCGAG